TGGAAATGAAAGAAAAATTTGTATTTTGTATCACCCCGAATAGGTGGATTTTCTTCTGTTGTTTTTTTCCCCACACCCTTTTCTTCAATACAACAGATCTATTTAAACATACTTTTAAAAGGAAAGTGTATTCCTTACTCCTGAGCTGTTTAAGCTATTGACCTACTTCTCATAAGGTGACTGGTACCAGTGATCTTTAGAGAGCTTTGTGGTGCTTCCCCCAGCCCTTCTTGTGTTGCCCGGTGGGAGGATAACCTGGCTTTCGGAGAGGCTGCCCAGAGCAATGGGAAATGGGGCAAGTCTGGCCCTTTGGGCCAGGGGCTTGGGGGTAAGAGCTGGTGTTGCTGTGTGGTCTCTCTAACTGTCTTAATGTGTATTTGGGGGTTCCCCTGTTGCTATTTGTTACTGTTCCTAAAATAAGCATTGTAAGCTCAAAAATTTTGCCTGAGACTTTTTTTTTCTGCTTTATAGAGCTGTTTCCAGCAGAAAGACAGGTCATGGATTACTTATATGACTTTAGCATATGGTTTAAATTATATAGCATGTGGTATAAATTTTAACACTTTACAACTCTGCAGATTTTTGTAAAATCAGAGACTTCAGGAGGTTCTGAGTTTCTCCTTTAAAATAACCAGATGAACAGAGAGCTTCAGCTACTTAATGTACCATGAACGATAGCGAGTGAGAACTGGTTGGGGTTTTTTGAGTCATTAGGACATGCTGAGCTAGTACTGCTGTAACACAGGGGCTTTCTATAGAGTACTACCTTGCCCAGTAAAGTCTATTTTTACACGCTGTAGTTTGGTACCTGTACTAGCATGATCAGCCTGGCTGTGGTGCTGTCTGTCCCCTCGCCACACTCCTGCTCTGCTCTTTCGCCGGAACTTTCCACTTTGGAGTATTAATAACATTATCCTGAGAGGATGCTTATCCCCCTGGACTGCCTTCTACCCTGTTGAGTCTGAGGGTAAAGCTGCAGGAACAGTACTTTCAAGCAAGGGGACAACAGGTTGTGCTGCTGAAAGGTGTTAACGCTGTTGTCAGTAGAGTTCATGACTGATCAACCTTTCTGTTCACTGAGGAATGAATCATTTCTCAGTCCCCACATTAGATGCGGGAGCTGTAAGTAAATGCAACCTGTCTAGAGAAATGATTTCCACCATGACTTCACTTGAAGATCATCTCTGTTTTATGACTGCAGAATGGGGTCACTTGTGCATTCCCTTTTCCTACGTTGCAAATGCTTGGTTTTATTCATTGCATTAACATCAAGCCATTCGTTCTGCTCGGAATGGCATGTGCACCAGGTATCGAAGTCACCCGAAGGGTATGATAAACAAAGAGATTTCGCTTCCTCATGTCATGTTCATCCCATATTTACCCTATGGTGAGAGCTCTGTTAGCACAGGAAGCTGCTTAATGATATCTCTGTGTTTATTTTTCCCTTGCGCTTAGCACGATAGTTACCTATTTATTTCTGCTGAAGAGGATTACAGGCATTTTTCAATTATAAATGGTGCACACAGGCATTATTTATCCTGTTTACTGCAGACCTATAGACTGTTAGTCAGTCTTGAGCAAAAGCATCTTGTTCAGGGAACAACATTTGTAGTAGTGGAACTGCGGGTATTGTAGGGCAATTCCAGGACAGTTTTCCATCTGTCCATTAATACTTGCTGTGCAGCACGCTCGTGACCGGCAGCATAGCAGGTTTCTGTTTGTGCGTGAAATTCCTGTGCTTGAGAAATTTTCATTCATGATGTTTCTTCTGTGTTAGCCTCTTGAAGGAGGAGGGGGAAACTCCTTGCTTGGCTCTCACAGGAAAAGAAAAGCTTTGCGCAGGTTTGGCAGGCGTGTGTTGGGTGAAGCCTAAGTGCCGAGCCCCATTTATGATGTATGGTCTTCCCCTAACTCTGCAGCCAATGCATCATGATAAATGTGGCATGTAAAGTCAATCTGAAGAATTCGTTTCTGTTTTCCTTCAGGATATATTCATAAGGTGCTAAAAAATACATTGTTGTGATACAGATTATGTAACAGAGAAAGATTAAAACAGTTTGTAGAAGGATATAAGCTCAAGCTTCATGACATGGAATCATAAAGGAGGTCAGAAGGACACTTCTTATTCTAGAGATTTTTGTCTTTTTTTTCTTTCTGCTTTTTTTTCCCCTTCCTTTCTTTTAAGTATCAGCTGTTGTCAGAGGCAGGATTCTTGTATGGCTGAAACTGATCTCAACCAGCATGATAGCTCCAGGCCAGTTAAACCAGAGACATATAGCAATGGGGATAGAACTTGACATTTTGGGTTTCAGAAATCTCCTTTTCTTTATGAACACAGGCAGAAAAAGGATACAGAGAAGCGTGAAAAAATAGAGAGGAAGTTCAAGGTGCTGGGTTTTTTTTTAAGAACTTGAAAAAAAAAAAAAGATATAAGAAAAGTTTTGCTCTGAAGCCTGAACCATTCCACAAAATGAGAAAACTTTGGGGCACTTTTCTAATGGTCTTGCCAAGATCCTGAAATGGTTGTAGTGAGGTGTGGGAGATCAGTGTGTGAGTATAAGGAAAAAAGGGGAAAAGTATCTGGAAGGAAAATAAAACTGTATCCCGTACAGGTCTGAACTGACATCTCCACAAGTGTTACTTGGTTTGCATGTGATTTTTAAAGAAACATGAGATCCCACTCCCCACACCCTCAGAGAAAACATGATTACAGATGCATGGAGCATTTGCTTTCCAGCCCCCAAAGAAATAACGTGACTGTTGATTTCATGCTATTGAAGAACACTGCACATTTGTGCAATATGCTATCAAAAAGATTGCGTAGCTGGATCTATATAGGCATACCACCTCAGCAGATTAAAGGGGTGCTGCCAAGGCTGAGGTTAAGAATTGATCTGCTTTGACAGAAAATCCCAAAAGGAAGAGTTTTAACCTTTAGGATTCTTTCCATCTATTTGCCTTCTTCAAAATGATTGCAGCTGTCACCAGAAATAAAAACAAAGCCAACAAAATAAAACCCTTTACAACTTATAGTTACGCAGCAATAAATAAAACATTGTTCAAGTCCCATGCAAGTTTTTCTTACCGTCTTGTACTAAATTGCTGGTAGCTTTTTAATGATTTTTTTTTTTTTTTTTTTTGTGGTAGCCATGGCTTGGAGAAACCTGAATAAGTGGAAAAGATGCAGGATCGTGTCTTGCAACAGCTCTGCATTTTTAGTGTTTACTGTTGATTTGCCAGAAGCCAGACAGAACCTACAAAGTGGGTCATTGGGCTCAGTGTACTATGATTATTATTTATACAGAATCCAAAGTGTACAGAGCACCCCTTTGGGCATATAAAAGTTCATGCTTCAAAGAACTTACAGCCTTCAGGGCTAATAATATTGTCAGTAACATCTAAGCTGGATATATTTCAAAGCTGCTGTTGCTACTTTCATAATTTTATTGCGTATCTTGCCCTACCTGATCATTCCGAGTTCTGGAGTACTGTGATGAGAAAAGCATCTTCAATTTCCATTTTAAACACCAAACTGAAACAAACCATTTTATCTCCAGACAAGAGCACAAAAATGTGTCCTGAACACAGTAGAGTAGTTTAAAGGCCAAACAAACAGAAAAAAGAAAGGTGGTTTGTTGTGTTTTTTTTCAGTGCAGTTGGCTAAGAAGATAATGAGGTTTCTAAGATTCCTAATTAGTCATGGGGAGGAAGGACAAGAAGAGACATGCTTGTGCTTGTGAAACTTGGGCAGTGGATTCCAGTTTTCTCCTCAGGCTATTAAAATTTGTAATTTTTTTTACAATAACGCATTTTTTGATGTGATGTGGTCAATGATGTCCTCTTCCAGAGAGTGCGCTTCCAAGCTGGTTCTGCACTTCACACAGCAGTCTGTTCCCTGCTGGGCACAGGTCCTCTTCAGAGATTTCTTCTTTTGTCTCTGCTCCTTTCCTCGTATGTTAATACATGGCCATAAAGTGATTAAACTGTGTTTTTTCTCACGTTCGATGTATTTGCCCATTGGGAGCAGTCTGTCCAGAAATGACACTGCTCAAGCTTCTGATACTGACTGGTGGCAAAAAAAAAAAAAAACAAAAAACAACATACCACGTGAATGAGGTACACGCCAGTATTTATTTCCCAAAAGTAAATGGGCAAGTTTCTTAAATAATGGAACATGTTCACAGAAATTGTGAGTTATTCCTTCAATACCTCTGAAGAGGCAAAAGGTTAAAAAAAAATTGCATTATTGGTTTTAAAGTCCTTGGCTGTGTTACAAGTAAGTGACTGAAGTGATGGGTTTAATTTGGAAGTTGTGGAGCTCAACAGGGTTAATCCTTCCTGCTGCCTTCCTCTCCTCTCTCTGGTGCTGGGTCTCACTGTTGTGGAGGACATGGTGATTGCTGAGTGATAGAAGAAATACTGCAGGGTACCAGTTTTTGGTGTGGCAGTGCAGGCTATTACATTGTCAAAAATCCGAGATTTCTTCTAGATCCTCTCACAAAGCTTTTTTCCCTCTCCCTTGTCCAAGTGACACTAAATTAAATAAATGTAAAAATAGGAATGCAAAGAGATGCCAAGGCCCAACTCCATGACTGCTGAAAGGAGTCCAGCTTCACTGATTTCAGTGGCAGTCATAGATTTATGCCCGTATCAGTAAGGGATGAACTGGTCTGAGATAACTTCCATTTATCACAGAAGTTTTCCTCTATGAAAGCAGAAGTAGATGGAGAAAAATCAGCTCTGTGGTTTTAGGCTTTGCTGGGCTGAGAATATGGCTAATGTGTTAATGAATTCAGAGGACGCTTTCTTTTGATTTAACCTTCCTTACTTTATTTTATTACGCCATGTATCTTTGGCATTTGGTGAAGAGCCATTGTAAATGTGAGAACTAAGCAGCTTGTCAGATAACATCTTTTTTTTTTCTCTTTAGAAGATTAAACTGAGCCTGTTCTGCCTGATGCCAGAATAGATGTAACCAATCCTGTATCCTTTGCATGTAGGTCAGTCAGAGGGACAATTCAGCACTGGATCCCATTATCCATGGGTTGAAGGGTGTCGTACATCACGGTAAGTAGCTTCTTAAACTTTCTTCTTGCCGGGAAGGGGAAAAGGGCAGGAATATTGTCCTTAAGGGATCAGGTCACCTCCAGAAGGACGTGGTGAGCGTGCACATTCCTCATTCACTGATGTTTAAGGGCATCACAGCCATTATTTGATTGGTAAAGATCGGAGTCATTTGTTACCTGAAATGGTTTGGGGTTAACAGTAAACAATTTGTTTCTTTTCAGTCAGTGCTCTAGAATGCCTAAGTTATCAATCAAAACCTACTACAATATATCATTCATATTAGTACTTCGAAGGCAGCGTTGATGCTTCGCTCCTGCTATTTATCTTCTGTTTGCTCTAAAAATACTCCTCTCTGAAGTTTCTATTTGTTTATAAATTATTTGTCTTTCAAATTTGGGGAGCTGATAATGAAACGGAAAATTAACTATCTATGAAAATTAATTAAACTTTGCAGCAGATGAACATCTTTCTAATGCTGACATAAATACGATCATTCGGCTGTTCTGATGCATATAAACCTATTATCCTTGAACTTATAGCAGGTACTGAAATAAATATTAATGTATTTTATACTTTTATAACCAGTTTTTACTTAGGAATTTTCCTGAAACCTTATCACAGGTAATGCATCATTAGCAATGACATCAAGATGCTCCAGTTCCCAAAGTACTCTTGTCAGGTTTTAATGTAATGATTTGTAAAGTTTTAATAGTCTCATTGTAATTCAAAAGGCATCTGCTGGAATGGTGCTAGGTACTATAATAAATCTCCGTCCCATCTATAGTGCTGTGATAAAACATCTTTGCACCTTTTCTGAGGATTGTCTTTAGACATTAGCTAGTGCTGTAGAGCTTAACAAACATTTTTTTTTCCTCTTGACTGCAAACCTAAAACTAGTTGACAGTGTTAGATTAAAACAAATAGGATTTTGGATTAATTGCTCTACTTTCAGAGTCATTTAACATTGCAGCTGGGAACGCCAATAAATCCAAAGCAAATGAAAAATAGGGGTTAAATAATAACATTCCATAAAGTCCTTCATTTAGAGAATTTTCCATAGGTTTTGCTGTTTATAAATTGCAGTGTTCTGCTGTGAAATAAAAACAGCACACTGAGCTGAAAAACTGTGTTGTTTTCCACAAAAATAGATGTTATTATCTAGCTCCCACTGGGTAACAGAACAGGCTAGCAAAAATAAAGCAAGGACGAGTTGGACTGCAAGGATTTTTCAGTGGCCGTGTAATTTGACACGGAAGTCAAGATGCCATTTAGCTGGTCCAGGATCTCTTTTTAGCTTTGTTTTCTACCTGCTTTCTCTTTCAAGACTCTCTACCCTCTGCAAATGCGACAGTGTTTTAGCCATCTCATCGGGTTTTTTTCTGCTCCCTCTCTTGCTCCTCGCTGCTGCAGCCGAAATAGCACTAGTGGATAATCACACCGGTGTCTCCGAAGAGTATTATTCCACTCCCCAAAATAATTGTTTGGGTAGGATGTGACACAGTCCTGAGGTTGTGATTCCTTGACCACATAATGGTTAGTCTGTCTTGGTGCTGCCTACCCACAGCAAAATCTGGGTGGATAAAAGGCGTTTATTTTTGTTTTGCTCACAATGCACAGAAGGCTGCTAGTGTTTCAAGTAAAGGAAATCGCTTGATATATTTCAATAGCTTCTTTCCTTTTCAAAACATTAAGGAAGAAAAAGAGGAAAATCTTGCTTTCCTTCCTGTTTCAAAGGCCCTGATTAAAGGCCTTTTCTAACGTTCTTTTGGTGGCTAGCATAAGGGAATTTCCTTCTACAAAGCAGTTGTTCAAAGAAATTGTTCTCTTTAACTTAAATACCGATGGAACGCTTCAGTAAAGAATTCTCATATCGTGTCTCTCTTTTAATGTTATTATATAGAATAATAGTGAAGATGTGAGCTTTTATTCCAGATGCTCTTATTTCATTTCTTTTCTTGATGCAATTTACTTACATCTTACATGAGCACATTTTTATGAATTTATCTGAAAAGGTTCTTCCTGCCTTCCATTTGGCGAAATTTGACTGGGACCCTAAGGCAACATGGACTTTTGGCTGAAATACAGTTGAAAACTCTTGTGGTTTTTGGATAGAGTGGTTGGATCAAGCAAGGATCCAACAAAAGGAGCTGGAGAAAGGCAAAATTGAAACCTTTTCTTGGCATTTTATAACATTTCCGTGCTCATGTTGGTTTTAGGTGGTCATTACAATACAAAGGCACATGCCTGTAGTGGTAAAATTGAGAATACTTATGAGTGTTAACTACCTTGCTTTTAAATTAGACCATGTTTGTGTATCCTCTGCTGCCTGGAGAGATCACCCGCCCCTCAGCTTTGCCTCTCCCGTGTGCCTCATCTCAACACACCTATTTAAGTAAGATTCCTTTGTTTTCCGTATCCCTCTCTGTCCAACCGGCAGAGCATCCTTCCTGACTTGTGCTGGACACTCACTCCTTCCTTACAATCATTCAGTTTTCAAAGAGGAAATTACACACCCTCACAAACACTCATCATCATCCTCATTTCTTCATTTGCCTTGTGGTGGTACTAGAAGTCCTGGTCCTGTATGGGGACTCCACTCTGCACCACGCCATATAGGGCACCCATGCTGGCCTGTCCCCATAATGGTGACAGATCCAATGACCCTCAGTTAGATGTCGGAATGGGACTGATGAGTGGAGAGCGGTTTCTAATTTTTCTTGCATAGCTTTTAATTTTTTCTGTGAAGTTCTTCACAGTGCCCTTCCAGGGGTAAGTGAACAATTTAAGTGTCAGAAGGACTTTCTGTGGAAGTGAAAGCAATTTTTGCTTGAGATTTCGTTGGGGATTTGAATTACTTACTAATTTGATGGAACATAAATAATTGTGCCCTTCACAGTGTCACCAGCTTAGTAACAATGATAGAGAAACACGCACATAAAAATCAATACAGGCTTAGTCGCTACTCGGAGCTCACTTTGTTTCCTCATCTCCAGGCATAATTTTGTAGAATCTTAATGCCACATTAAGCTTAATTTTACATGAGCAACCATATAAAGTTTCTTAGCTGGAAGGAAAACCAGTGATGTACCGAACTGCCTAACAGTGTTTGGATCAATGATAATGCTTTCAGGTTTGCCCCACATCTTCCTGCCGAACAGTACGTTCCCATCACATCGACACTCCCCAGCTCCCGTATCCGCCCTCGCAGAGCATTGTAAAGGCGCACGAATCCCGAGGAGGCTCTGTTCAGAGCTGTCAGATGCCTGTTGCTGATTTTAAAATTGCTTTTGGTTTTGTGCTCTGCCAAGGATTTGTCACACCTCCCGCCAGCGAGGTGCCTGCTATTCTCACTCCTGCTTTCCCTGCCGCAAAGAGCGCGGCGAGTGTGTGTCTGCCACGGAGCTCGCCAGGGACTGACAGCTGGGAGCGTGCAGCCCTCTCTCTGCAGATGGGATGGAGTACGGGCAGGCATGATACGAATTTTCTGATGCTGACTTGCCAGTGTCTTTCAGCTCTGACTGCTGGGGGTCTTTTTTAGTTCATCACCAAAGCTGATGGGAAAGGTCTCCAGCAATGCTGGTGCTGGTGGGATGATGCACGTCCTTAGTTGAAGTTGGATGATTAGGTAAAGCAATAAAGTCAGTGGTGCCTGGCTGCGCTTGCACCACACAAGGGCCAGTCATGGTGCTGCAGATCAGACTTTTTTGCCTCTTTTGCTGTCGATGTGCTTGGCTGGGTGCCCTGCCCTGAGCCCCTCACTGCTCCTTGTCCTTCCTTGTGATGCTGAGGAGCACGGGGCAGGATGGAGCTGCTCTTGTGCAAGGGGTGAGGAGGCTCCTGGGGCCTCAAGAGAGAATGATTGTGCCCTTGTGGGAATAGGGGAACGTGAAATACCAGGTCACGTCTTATACAGTCGATTTGCATTAAAATGGCTACTAAAGCTTTTGTCTGCCACATGCTTCAGTAATATCTCAGAGGAGTACCTAGCAGGATGGAGCTATTGCATGGAAACATTGCTTTTTCCTACCTCTGCTGTCTTTGACTTGCCCTTTTTAGTACCGTTTTGTATGTAAGCCTCTTAGAGATGCCTTTTCCTTGTTCTTACCAGCTGCCTGGAAGGCATTAAAATGAGTCTCCATCCCCGATGTCAGTCCTGAGGGTAGTGCCTGGTGCTGGAGGCTGTGCAGCATTTGACCTCTCCTAACCTGGGCACTGTGCTCTGCACAGCTCCGTTTTACCATGCAGGCAAATGGTTGTCAGAGGGAGCAGTAGCCTAACCTGCCCCAGGCCGCTGGAAAATCTTTCAGGGTGATGGAAACCATATTTTGTCACTCTGTCCTGTTCTTTGTGTCTGTCACCAAGAATCTACACGGATCAGCAGAAAATTATTAGCACAGCGCAAATAAATTACCACAGCAGAAAAGCTTCTATTAATGTCATAAAAATGGGGCTCTTATTCCCTTCGTTGTCAAAAGTGAGCACTGAAAATCAAAGTGCAGCCAGATCAAAAGCTTAGGTACAAAGTGAATTGATGGCATCTGTTGCTTGTTTGTGAATGTGGGGTGGGGTGAGGGGAAGAGAGGAAGCTTTGTTTATTTAAAAGGGAGTTTGGAAAAAAATCTTGCTTTTTTCTTCTGCCTTTGTATTATTCAAATGCCATAACTTAAGCTCAGCATGGAGCAGAGTGCGATCTTGTGTCTTCCTCGAGATGGGCGAGAGGTGGTCAGGCAAGTTGGTGGTGACCACCGAAGTTTCAGGGGCTACTGGGGAGACTGTACCAAAATACAGTGGAAACAGAATTGCTTTAATAGTGAAAAAGGATAGAGAATAAGTATGTTGCACATTTCTCCAGTTGTCCTAGGGAAAAAGGCAGTGAATAACCTGTTAAAATAAATCAGCACTAAAAAAGAAGCAATCCAGACAGTGTTAGTTACCCTGTGGATCTATCACACCAGAAGGCATAATAACAAGAAAACACCATTAGCAGCATGACGGGTTTT